TGTAATATCCATATATATATATCTATAATATATGCTGAATATTATCTTAGAAAGATGATACATTGAATACAGAATCCTTTTGCACTATTGGCATATTTTTTCCAATATGTTCAAATCATCTCAACATTTACTTAGGTAGCAATTATTCTTTGTGTCTCATCCTTATTGAAATTGTCCAAAATATAACATAGTTTTTATAGAGAAAAGTATTATTTATATAATATTTAACTTAAATGCACAAATTACATTAACATGTACAATTGGTATAAATAGTTTTGGGGAAAAAAAAAACAGTTTATTTTTAGCCTGTACCTTAGCTGATGAGAATGGAAGTATACTGGGCATTAAAAGGTGACATACTAGTCAATATCACCCATCATGCTATGGGGGCTTGGTGCTTGTGCAGTACAAAGGAAGTGATTGACCAGATAAATTGATTAAATGGAGTCAGTGAAGCACATTTCTTCTTTCTGTTCAAACCAGTAAAATCCATCATTTATAAACAGCATGGTAGATACTCATGTTTTATTTTCTACATCTTTCCCATATCATGATATGTATTAAAAACTCACTAAGTCTTCCTTCTACCTATCATATCCTATTTTTTTAGGCTTATCCTACTAAACTTGTGCCTAGAATTCTATTCATTTTATTTTCTAAAATAGTTTATAATCTAGAGTATGAAATCTTAAATTCTGTAGCAGAAGAGGATGTCCATGATGATTTGATCATATCCTTTTTTTATGTACTATTCAGATGCAGTTTCATATTCATGTTTCAATAATCAATCTTTCAAAGGATACTTCCTTTAAAAGGAAAGTGTGTATCATTCTTATTACTCACGTATAGGAAGACTTATCACTCATTCAATAAGAATGCAGGTCAAGCACTATGTTCTGTATAAATGCATACTGTATTTACTACCTTGCATGTAGAGGGCTATAACCAATACAATCGCTGTTGTGTTGCTGCTTCTGTTGCCAAATATGTTTGCTGATAATAACTCTGATGGTTTTCAATGACCAAACTAAAACAAAGTTAATTCCACTCTCACAAGTCCAAACAAAACATAGTCTTATCATCAGCATCTGAAAATAGAAACCAATCAGCCAGTATCACTTAATCATTGAGAAAATTATTTCCACCAATTATTTTCAAACAGAGAAGCATCTGCTTGTAGAAAGTATTCCCTGCAAAGAGTAAATGCTCCAGGACATTTCTGAACAAATGGACTTTCTAGTGAAACCTCATACAGTAGACATACCTTCACATTTTTAATAATTTAATTACACTAAGATGTACATACAAAAAGTTCTAAAAAAAAGTTTTAATAAGATGTCATAGTAGGATCGTCTATCTTATATCCTAAATGCATAATGTTTTTATATAACTTACATAATTTCTCTAATATGAAAATAAAAGGATCTCAAATAGAGATATACAACAAACCCATCTGTTGAACTTTTTAAAATCACCCATAGCTAGGTCTCCCATTCCCAGGGATTTAAATTCAACTAGTCTGTTATGGGACACTAACAGTGATATTTTTTCAAAAAAAAATTCTTTTAATAATTCTTATATGCTCCAAAATTAAGAATCTCTGACATAGAACATTGATTATAATGTATCTGTGTGAAACTTATAATAATGAAAATTGGTAATATAATCAAACAGCACATTATAATAGTCTGTACAAGTACTTTTATTCAACACATATCCATTGTCTACCTGGTAGTTTTCAGATCCTTGGATGGAAACTTTTGTCTTTCCTACATCATTTTGTTTGTGTTCAGTGAATAAAACATTGGAAAATTATTTAAACATCATGATACATGCCTTCATCTTGATAACATAGTGTCTCTACTTTCTTTGTTCACTCATATTCTTTTAGCTGTGATTCCACCCAAAGAGAAATCCATTTAATCATTTATATGGGTTTTAAATGGTTGTTTTTTTATTTTTATTTTTATTTTTGCATAACCTTATATCATAAATTGGTTCAATACATCTTTTATAAGCATATACTATATTTTAGGTTCTGTGGAAACAATCTTACTGTTAAGTGACTCTCTCTTATACGGGAAGCAGATAAGCAAATTAGGCAGATACAGTTGTGTATGAAGTGGTACATTAGGAACACATATGAGCACGTAGCAGCAGATAAACATAGTTAAACTCACAAAGGACAGTCCGGGAAGATTTATCTAAGGAAATTACATTTAATATGAGCTATAAAAATAAAAAAAGAAGAAGAGGAAAGAAGATTTCTGGTAGAGGAAAGAGTATCTGGGAAAACTCAGAGGCATGAGAGAACAGCATTTGTCAATGAGATAAAAGTCATTCAACCTGGTGTAGCAAGAAGTGAGAGGGGAGGCTTCCTGTCCTCTCTTTACTAGATCATGAGAATCTGAGCCAGTTTATTTCCTGAAGAAAATGAGGAGCCACTGAAAGGTTTCTGCAGTATTATATCATGAGTTAATCACTCCCTCTCAACACAGAGATATTGTTGTTGTTAGGTGCCTCAAGTTGGCTCTGACTCACAGTGAACCTATGTACAATAGAATAAAACACTGCCTGGTCCCACACCATCCTCACAATCCTTGCTATGCTTGAGCCCATCATTGCAGCTACTGTGTCAATCCATTTTATTAAGGGTCTTCCTCTTTTTCACTGACCCTCTATTTTACCAAGCATGATATCCTTCTCCAGGGATCTGTCCCTTCTGACAACATGAATAAAGTAGGTAAGCAGAAGTCTGGCCATTTTTGCTTCTAAGGAGCGTACCAGCTGCACTTCTTCCAGGACAGGTGTGTTAATTCTTCTGGGAGTCCATGTTATTTTCAGTATCATCTGTCAGTTTGTCATACTGCGGTGGCTGTGAGATTTGCTGTGAGGCTGGAGGCTATGCCACTGGTATTTCAAATACCAGCAGGATCACCCAGGCTGGACAGGTTTCAGCAGAACTTCCAGACTCAGAAGAAGGACAGAAGAAGAAGGCAAACTACTTCTGGAAAAATTGGCCACTAAAAAACAGATATTATGCATATATAAATGAATATATTAAAATAATCAGTTGAATAATCTCAAAAATATATTTGAAGTTTTCTATTGTTTTTGGAAAGGAGACACATTGCAATAGAAGACATGGTAGCAATTCAGGCAAATCTGCATGTACACCCATGTAGCAAAACTTAAAAATCTGGACAACCTGTTTATCAAACTTTAGTGGCTTTAATTGAAAATTGTACACTTCAGCTTAGAGAATTAAGCTTTTAAATCTCCAGAAAGTTCCCATAATGAGGCCATAGATGATGAAGACATGAAACTTGGGTTTTTATTTTATTTTAATCACAGTAGGACACTAATTCTAGAACAGTGCCTGATACGTGTTGGTATTCACAGTATTTCTTGAATGTTGTTGTTGTTGTTAGGTGCCTTCAAGTTGGGTCCGACTCATAGTGACCCTATGTACAACAGAACAAAACACTGCCCAATAATGTATCAGACTGTGTTTCACTGCTATTCATAAGGTTTCCACTGGCCAATTCTTTGAGAAGTTGATGGTCCCTTTCTTCTTCTGACTTTCTTACTCTAGAAGCTCTGCTGAAATCTATCCACCATGGGTGACCTTACTGGTATTTGAAATACTGGTGGCATAACCTCCAGCCACACAGCAACATGCAAGCCACCACAGTGCAACAAATTGACAGACGAGTGGTGGTTCTTGAGTGTAGGAAGAACTAAAAAGATGAACATTTAATTAAGTAAAACAATATTTTGTTAGTTGGGCAATCTACTTCCATAGTGATACCACCTTGCAAAACCAACGATCAGGATCAACCCAACGGCAGTGAGTTGGGTTTGTTTTTTTTAATATTTATTGAGTGCTTCATATGCCAAGCACTATGAAATAGCACATAACTTAATTGTCATAACAATCCTACGAGTACAACTGTTATCCTTGTTTTTGAGATGAGGGAATTGAGAGAGAGAGATGGGGAGATTCACCATGCCTCATAGCTAATAGAAAGGAAGTTAGAGTTCAAACTCAGGCAGTTGGACCCCAGAGCCTGGTCAGCACTTACACGATACTTCAAGAATGAAAGGCTGTGGATTTGAAAATACTCATGGAAGGCAAACAAGCATCAAATCAGAATTGTAGCCCAATGACATAAGGATAGATTCTCTACTCTTGATCCTCTAATCCCAGAAGATATATCACATTTTCTGCCCAAATGTCTTGTGTTTTTCACATTGTTTACAACTTATTCTACAATGGCTTTGATTTTAATAAATTGCATATGCTCATTACTTCTTTTTAAAGCTTTCTGGAGACATTACTGAATTCATTTTAAGGAAGCCCTGAAAGCATTAATGTGCTTTCTCAATATGACAAATTATTAATATTATTGCTAAATAATTTATGTTTCAAAGGGAACTCAAAGTAATGAGCTTTCTCTTGTACAGTTTTACTGAAGTAAATGATCATTTATCTTCACAAAGAACAAATGAGTTTTCATGGAAGAGAGTAAGAGAGTGAGCTTCCAAAATATACATGTTGAAAAGATAGAACATTCGGTGCCTAATGGCCTGCTGCTGCTATTGAAGAAGGCTTTCCCTGCAATTTTTTTGATATTTTGATTTGTTTTATTTTTAACTTGAGAATTGATTATTTTGTCTTTCCAGACTATCACTGAAAAACACAAGCTCAATGTTCCTGAGACGATGACTGAGGTTCTTGATGTTTCTGATGAAGAGGGTAAGAGTTTTACCAAAACTTCTATGACATCAGTCATTTTCTTAAACAAGGGAAAACCGTCCTTTTATTCAGGTACAAAGTTGGTGCAGGGGGTGTGGATGACAGCATCTTCACTTTTGGAGCCACTGCTTTTCATGGTTTTTCCAATACTGTTGCCATTCATAGAGGGGTCTAGGGAGTTGGAAATAGTGTATTTTCTCCTGGTATTATCTTTAGTGTCTTATTAAATATAAGAACTGGAAACTGGGGGGGGGGGGATCTGTAAAAAATAGCTACCTAATACTATAGTTAGGAGCTCTGGTAGCATAGTGCCTAAGGCACTTGCCTGCTAACCAGAAGGCTGGTGGTTCAAACCCACCAGCCACTCCTTGGAAGGAAGATGGGGCAATGTACTTCCGTAGTGATATTGCCTGGGAAACCCAAGGAGGGGTCGCTATGAGTCAGGTCCAACTCAATGGCACATAACAACAACAACAACAACAATATTATAATTATTATTAATTTCTATTTTAATTATGGTAAAATATATTTAAACTACCTAAAAGTGGAAAACCACCTTAAAGTATACTCTATCAAAGAGGTGTTAAGACATCTCTGCTTTCTCATTATTTAAAATGTACAGAATTTATTTTAAATCCAGAGAAAAATGAGGTTTAAAGAAGGTTGAAAAATAGCACAACAGTAATCAGTATAGACAGAGTTCTGGTGGTACAGTTGTTAAAGCATTTGGCTGCTAACCAGAAGGTCATTAGTTTAAATCCTTCTATTGCTCTCAGGGAGAAAGATGAGGCACTCTGCTTCTGTAAAGATTTACAGCCTTGGAAACCCTGTGAGGAAGTTCTACTTTGTCCTATAGGGTTGCTATGAGTCTGAATGGATTCTATGGCAGTCAGAGTTTGTTTAGGGTTAGCAGTACAGATTCAGTATAAGAAATAGACTCCAGAAATCAGAAAATCTGGCCTGTATAATCTAAGAGTTGGTGAAAATTACTTAAGGCAATGGATTTCAAAGGAAGTTCTGAGAAGCCTATCTTTCTGGAAGAAACACTAGAGACTGCCTGGGGCAGAGTGGGGCTAGTGCTACAGTTAGAGATTCAGCCACAGATGTCTGGTTCCCCACCTCTAATTCAGCAATGGTCGTTGACTTTTCTTTGTTTCAGATTTTGAATTTCTATGTAATATTCCATTAGAATAAAAATCTGCTAACAATAGTGAAAGTAGCATATGTTATTGTTGTTGTTCTTATTATGTGCCATAAAGTTAGACCTAACTCATAGCAACCCCTTCTTGGGTTTCTGAGGTGGTATCACTATGGAAGTAGGTTGCCCAACCTTCCTTCCCTGGAGTGGCTGGTGGGTTTGAACTGCCAGCCTTCTGGTTAGCAGTCAAGTGCCTTACACACTATGCTGCCAGAGTTCCTGAAAGTAGCATATAGAGTATGCAATCCAGTTTCAATAGCACAGCTATTAGTCAAATGTACATATTTAAAAATCATTACTATGTATATATGTGTGTGTATGCATATATATAATAAATGAATATGTTACTGGATCCAATACTTATTGCTTTTTAGTAAGTAGTTCTTTAACATTTTATTATTTTATGTTTTTAATTAGAAATATTAATGGTATTTCTTTAGATTCTTCAAGATATAACCATTAGATAAAACTTTACAATGAGATATGCTTAATTTGAACCAATTTGTTAAATCAAATTTGTTAAATTTGGTAATAGGCACTGAGTTGGTTTAACTTTGATAGTTTATGACAAGAATGAGCAATGTTAGATCAATGCATTATTATGAGTAATTTTGAAGGTATTGCCAAAGCTGTCAGTTTCTCTTCTTTATTATAATAATACTGTGTTCCATCATAATACTCACCAATTAATTTTTAACATTTGTGTATGTACATCATATTTAGTCTGCAGAATCATCTTGCTTATTTTCACTTGTATATTGAACAGCTTTTAAACATTTTGGTGACCACTTTATTGATGGGGAAGCATTTAGTGATTCAGGTACCAGTGAGGAAATTGTTGAAGTGAAAGCTTTTCTTTGCTATTTATTTTTCCTCACTCAGTAGAAGGAACTTGCTTAATATTAAAATGAGTATCTATACTAATCTGTTTCTTTTGAAATTGCATGTGTAACATGGGTGGGATGTGTAGGTGTGTATTTGAGTGTTGATTGATTTTATTAACTTGGAAGCATAAAGCCATAAATTACTTATATTGTTAATGATTTTGCAACTACTATTGAAATCTTTTAACACATGACCTAATGCAGATTATATAAATATTTTGTCAAAACTAACATCTCTCTCAGAATACAAATTAAGAGAAGAAGAATTTTTTGTAAAGTTGATAATAAACTAGCATGAACATGGTCATGATTGAGTTAAACCACTTGAAATGAATGCAGTTCATGTCATCATTCCTGCATGAAGATATATTTTAGTTGTGGTAAAAAAATTATATGATATTTAAAGTAATAGTTAAAATAACCAAAAATAGAGATAAAGTAATAAAGTAACCTTTAAAAATTGTGTAAGGTGTACTTTGGCATATAAGAGAAAAACGAATAATACAACATTTTATCTGGTAAGAAGTTTCCAAAGTATTTAAACAAAGACATTAAGGGAAAATAAGTTTATGAGTTAGCTAAATTAGATGTTGTTAGGTGCCTTTGAGTCTGTTCTGATGCATGGCAATCCTATGTACAACAGAATGAAAAAAGCCTGGCCCTGCGCCATCCTCATAGTTGTTGCTATGGTTGAGCCCATTGTTGTAGCCACTATGTCAATCCTTCTCATTGAGGGCCTCCCTGATCCTTTTTCACTGACCTTGTACTCTGCCAAGCATGATATCCTTCTCCAGAAACTGGTCCCTTCTGACAACATGACCAAAATATGACAAAGCCTGGCCATTCTCACTTCTAGGAGCATTTTGACTGTACTTCCTCTGAGACAGATTTGTTCATTCCAGCAGTACATGGTACATTCAATATTCTTGGACAATGTCACAATACAAAGTCATCACTTCTGTGGTCTTCCTTATTCATTGTCCAGCTCCTATATGCACATGAGGCTATAGAAAACACTATGGCTTAGGTCAGGTGTACCTTAGTCTTCAAAGTAACACCTTTCCTCTTTAATACTGTAAAGAGGTTTTTTGCAGCTGATTTGCCCAGTATAATACATAATATCATCTGATTATCTTGACTGCTGTTTCCATGGATGTTGATTGTAGATCCAAATAAAATGAAATCCTTTACAACTTCAGTATCTTCTCTGCATATCATGTAGAGTATTCAGTATCATGTTGCTTATTGATCCAGTTGTAAGGATTTTAGTTTTCTTTATGTTGATATATAGTCCATACTGAGGGCTGTAGTTTTTTATTTTCATCAGTAAGTGCTTCAAGCCTTCTTCATTTTCAGCAAGGAAGGTTGTGTCTTCTATTTAATCCAGGTTTTTAGTGATCTTCCTCCAATCCTGAGGTCATGTTCTTCTTCATGTAGTCTAACTTCGGGGATAATTTGCTCAGCATATGGTTTGAATAAGTATGGTGAAAGGATACAACCCTGACACATACTTTTCTGATTTTAAACTGTGCAATATTTCCTTGTTCTGTTAAAATGACTGCCTCTTGTTCTATGTACTTCTTCATGAGCACAATTAAGTGTTCTGGAATTCCCCTTATTCACAATATTAATTTTATAATTTTTCATGATCCACATGGTCAAATGCCTATGCACAGTCAATAAAACACAGGTAAACATCATCCTTGTATTCTTTGCTTTCAGCCAAGATCCATCTGATTAGTAGAAAGTTATAATTTAATGTAAAAATAATTCTTGTTACAATATAATTGCTGAAGAACTTCATTAGCAAACACATTTAAAGTATTTATTGCATTTATAGCAATTCCATTTACATGCAACAGCTTCTTGGACCTGCTGCTACATAAAATATGTTCTAGCTATAACGTTCTGTGAATTCTCAAAAAGCTGTTATTTATTAAAAGTTACTTGTGAGAAGAACTTTTAATTTGAGAGGGATATTTACAAAATGATCAAAAATGTTTCCTATGTGAGAAAAGAAGATTTCTATTTTTAGAAAAAGCAAATAATTGTAAACATTTTTTCGGACCTAAGGAAATGTAAGTTAAATAGCTTTTATTTATAGAATATTTTTTGTGTATTTGAAGTAACTTTTTCATGCAAAAACTTAATATACAGGAATTTAGATGGTTGACATTCCCAACCCTCTAATATTTTGTGAGATTAAAATGTTTTCATGGAAGCTGCCATTGTCCATGTGTACACAAGGCAGCTACATGTGTTTCGAATCTATCATTCAGTCCCTGTTTTCTCTACAAAACAAACCCAAGTGTTCCAGAATAGAACTATTCCCCAAAGGATTTTCTGTACAGTATCTACTAATTTAATGTACCCCAAAGAGTATTCAAGCTAATTATAGATATCCTTTCAGGTTAACTTGCTACAAGAAAGCAATCAGCATTATCCACTCATGAATCCATTAAATAAATAGTGAATGTTGTATTATTGTGTGTAAAATTATATAACTGGTACCAAGAGGAAATATAAGTAAACAAGGGGCATGCCTTCAAGAACCACATACATGTTAGAAGAAATCATGTATTAATGTATTGTTAGTTGCCTTTGAATTTACTATGACTTTTTGGTGACCCCATGTTCAACAGAAGAAAATATTGCTGGGTCTTGTGGCATTTTCACAGTCACTGGTACACTTAAATCCATTGTTGTGGCCACTGTGTATTTTGAGTACCTTCCCATGTAGGGACTTCTGGTGGTGTGTTAGACTGGGT